AAGGAAACAAAAGTGGAAAAAATGTTGCTTTCAGACTTACCTACATCTTTGTTCTGTTTAGAGTTATACATGGCTACAAAAATGTCCAAAGTGTGAGTGTATTTAATGGGCGTAAAAACTTCATGACACTTACAATTTTATTAGATGTTTTTCTATATAGTAGTGAAGTGTCTTTTTTTTTCTTGTTAATTTAGAAGTAGGATAAACTGTCAAGAGAGAGAAGTTCTCATCTGTAGAGACAGGGGGACAAAATTTCAAAAGCAGCCTCTAAATACAGCTTTTAATAATTTTTGAGGAATTATTTGCAGCTGCCAGCAGGAGAACTTAATGGTTCTAATTAATTTGAATTAGAATGACTCGAGTGCTGGTTCAGATACTACAGAAGAAGGAAAACATTGGTCAAAATTCTCATAGCGATTGCACACATCCAGCCTACAATAGGATAAATATATCTGAGCTTATTGGGAGAAAATACTGATGTTTTGTCAAAATCAGGTCACTTTAATATTTCTGAGCTCAGTTTTTGTAGTATAATACCCCTTAAAATCCCAGTCACTTTGTGTATGGGGTTTTTTAGCTGTTATTCCGACTAGCAATAGGAATTGCAAAATATTGCATTTAATAAACCTAAAGTAAAAAATGTAGGGAACGATGTGTGTGCATGTACATACACATGCACACACAGATGATCAGAGCTTAGTGCAAATAATTCTGAAACAGTAGTGGAAGCTGGATCTTGCCTATGGTCCATCTACTCCGACAGATGAAAGAGCACAAGGAGCTTCACGGATACTGGATACTCTGACATAGTAGAAATCCCCATGCATTTTTAAGATCAGGTTTACAAAGCTTTAATCTTCTCTATTTTTTAACTTCTGCGATCAGCTTTATATAGTCTTACAATAATTTAAATACTCAGCTGTGCTTTTGTTTTGCTAAGTTTTTGATCTCAATAGCATCCAGTAGTGCTGAGTTCCACAGTGTAGTTATATGTTCTGTGAGAAGATACAGTCTTACATCTGAGTAAGTTTTAGTTTCATTCACTAACACCTCTAGGAAAATGGAGGTTTTATCTCAATTTCCAGATTGTGCACTATTTCATATGTTTTTAACTATGCCCTGATTTCTTTCCAGGTTGAGCAGTCTTAATCTTTTCGGTAATTCTTCATGTGATTTGAGGGGCTTGTTTATTGTAACCAAAAGTGTACTTTCTGAAACAGGCTAGTGGACAGAAGGGATCCAATAGGAAACAGAAACAGGGTCTATTTCTAGTGAGTAGTTACCTTAGAGCTTAGACTGATGATTGCCAGCGATTCAGCAATAGTCTTCTCATATAAAATTCATTGCCTTGTCACTAAAATGCAGTAACTGGCTTTGCAGGCAGTCCTAGTCCATTGCAACGGACGAGTCAAACACATTTACACATTGGAGAGTCATCTGCCATTGTTACCAATTCATCATACTTAACTAATTCTCTCTTCCTTTCTTCAGGGATTTTTGGAGGCTTGATATAACTCACATGAGTGATTGTATTAGCATTTTATAGTTCCAGTGATTTTCTTCTTACAGGGATAAATATTGGTCATTCATAATATATTTTGAAGATGGTTCCTCCTTGCACAATCTCTCAAAACTTGATTTGCAGAATTCTTACAATAAATTGGTATCAGCTATTCCTGCAACCCTGTCTGGCTAGGAGAGACCTGTCGGTGGCCAGTCTTCTAGAGGAAAGGGCAGGTTCTTCATCAGGAGCCACAGGATGACTCTGGGACCTGGGTTAGGAGTTAAGGGGGGGTATGTGTGTGAAGGCGGGGTTGTTGTTGGGTTTCTTTTTTTTTTCCCCCTTTCTTTTTTGGGGGTGATAAATAAATGAAAATAAATGCCAAACCTTTACATTAAGCATATCTAACTATTTTTAGCCCTAATAGTCTATTAGAATGATAACTTAGATTTTAAAATCGTATTTCTACTACAGCAATTTTTTTAGTGTGATTCTCACTAAATTTCTCTCCTTGCACTTGTGTAGTAGCTGCAGATTAATCTCATCATACATAAGGATTTCCATATTGATTTTCATATATATCAGCTTTCTCAGGACATTTTCAGGCAGGTTAATGTCTGGCTTAAGTTCAAATACCAACTTGTTGAAGTCTATAAATTTCTATATGCCAACTGCAAAAATAAGTTTATTACTCTTTTAAAAAGATGAACAATGCAAAAATAGAAGTGAGAAATATGGCAACTGATGAATTTATTAAATCAGATTACTGAAATCAATATATCAATATTTTGTTCTCTGTACCACATAATCATTTATTAGAGATGTTTACAGTTAATAATAGAGCAAGTTTTATTGTCTAGAAACTGGTCATTTGAAATACTGTCTCTAAAGAGGAAAAATTAATTTCATAGGACAGTTGACTTTATTCTGTGCATTATATATTCTGCTTTGCTCTATGCATTCCAAATCCTTCTAATTCATATGGTTTACTCAATAAATGTTGTTATTATATAGGTTCTTGGGCAGATCGCTCACCTCTGCATGAGGCAGCCAGTCAAGGACGTCTTCTTTCTCTAAAGACTTTATTGTCACAGGTGAAGGCTGTGTTCTTAAAATTGCTTTCATTTTTAATGTTACTTAATTTCTCAGCATAGATTATTAATGCAGATTTAGTATGCTTTGCTTTGCTTTTTTCACTTGAATTTTTCAGAGCAATACACATTTAGGAATTTTTTCTATGATAAGATATAAGTTAATATTTAAAATATTTCCTCTGTATGTTTTAAAACTTCCCCCCCCAAAAAAATTTTTTACCAAAGCTGTATCTAAATGTATATCAGTCTTCCCCTCTTGCAAGGTATAAGTCAATATAGTTCTACTGCTTTAAGCCCTCAGGTAAATAGAGCTAGTCAGGAAGATACTTGTTGAGGGGAAGAATCACTGAAAGATTCTGGGTTTTGCATAGTTGTGATTTAAAAAAAAATATATTCTGTTAATAGCAAAGGGAGAGGCTGTGAACCGCTAAATTTTAATATTACAGTATTGTCATATTAGCTACTACAATACTGAGGAATTATACTATAGAATACACTTGATGAAAGCCAATAGATACAACTATTAGTTCTTAAGAATCAAACAACATCTACTGCAGAAAATTTCAAGGGCTTGATGATTTTATCAATCAAGAAGAGTTTTCCGTGCTAAAATTCATGGCTTTAGATATTTCAGACCTTAAGTCAGAGAATCATAGAATCACAGGACAGTTTAGACTCAGGGCCTTGTTGAGTTTTAAAGATCACCAAGAGGGGAGATGCAACCAACCTCTCTGGACCCCTCTTCCAGGGTTTCACTGTCCCCACAGTGAAATTTTTTTCCATGTAACTAATTGGAATTCACCATGTTGCGACTAGTGTCTGTTGCCTTTTGTGCATCTCAGCAGTCTGTTTCCATCTTTATACCCTCTATATCCTATGATTTAAAAAAAAAAAAAAGAGCTGACAACTTACTTTTATTCTGTTATATAAGTTGATTGATGAAAGAGTCTTTTTATGCTCACTGAAGATTTATTTATTGCAAGTAGAGTTTTAAGCCTATTTAGAGTATTGTAAACTATTCATTTGAACAGTAGTGTGAGGAAACGACTCTTAACAGCTAACAGCTTTTGTATGATCTTCATATGTCATTCATGTCTTGTTTAGGGGTACAATGTAGACACACTAACAATTGACCAAGTAACTCCACTTCATGAAGCCTGCCTGGGAGATCATGTAGGATGTGCAAGAATCCTTCTGGAAGCAGGAGCAAATGTAAGGGGTGTTTTTTTGTATATGAAGTCCAATGCTAACCTTGGTTTAACTGAGAAGGATATATTCCTTAATTTTTATTTTTTTTTAATTGGTATTTCTCTCTACTCACCCTATGGATTGTGTTGATCTCATTTAATTACAATAAGCTGCCATCTGAAAGCTAGCAAAGGAAAGTGATGGGTCAAAGAAACATCATTAGAGAAATGTTAGGTTAAAAGAAAAAAAATCCCAACCAAACAAACCACGTAATTGTATGTGTAAGAGTAAATATCAAACAGAAGAACAGTAACAGGGAAAATAGATGGGAGTTGGGCAGACTCTGAGGCAGAGTAATGAATTGGAGAGAATCTGCTAGCAGGATGTCACCAGCCTTATTTCTTCTCTGAATTTCGTTACATTAGTTCTCTTCTAAAATATAGAATGCGTCCCTCTCCTTTACTGGTTTCCTCTTGCTTTGAGTGGCTTGCAGGAGACACTTCTTTTAATCTCCAGGCTGTCTTTTGTCACACTGCACCTGTGTGCTCTTAAGATTCTTTGGTCCGAGTACAAAAAAGCACTGCTTTTTTCTGTACTCCTGACACAGGCTGTCTGTTATCCCAAAACAAAAATGGAACTTTACAGACCACTTTCACTACAACCTCTGCTGACATTGGAGTTCAAATGCGTAGTTTCCCAAATCTCTGATCTTTGTGACAGAAATATTTATTGTCCTTACAATTCAGTTTTAAGAACCATGTAGAATATGTCTGTGTTACTAAAGAAAAAGAAAAAAATACATATATGTTTCCAAAAACAATTCCTCTCCACTTCGGCTAGCAGATTCTAAAGATACAAAACCATAGGTACTATATACAAAACGATAAGAACAAATTTCATTTTCCTATCCGAATTTTTTTAGTACTTTTAATTGTTTTGGTGGATTTGGGGGGTGCATGGAAGAGGATAGGCCAGAGTCCTGGAAGGAGCCCTCTCCTAATACCTGTGATCCTTCCTTTAGTATTATTATCCCTCACAAATTTGTCTAGTTTCTCTCCTCATTCTCTCACACTGGGAATATTCAATTAACTAGTGAGGTGGTGAGGTTGGTATTAAAACAGCGAGCCTGTAGCTTTGTCTCCATCCTGTGAAGTATCACTCCGACCTGGAGATCAAAACCACGAAGAAAATGGCAAATAATTCTCACATTTAATAGGGAGTTTGCGTTCTTGACAGAGAACTCTGCGGAGAGAAGGTCCCCATTATCCCATTACTACACAAAGTGTAGATTTTCTATATCAATGAAACAAGCTAAGTGCAATGACTTTTGAAAATTATTTACTGCCCAGATGTTAATGTGTGCTGTTTAGTATTCCAGGTGTACTTTAGTTTATTCAAGATAGTTTAACAAGAATAATAGTAAACTAATTTCAACTGAGGGGTGTGGTGAGAGGAAGACAGTAGCACAGAGACTGATCAGTTAAGCTATGTTATTCTAACCAGTAATTTTTTTAGTATTTTAATGCAATTTCTAACTATATCCTGTTTAAAAAGTTTTTAAAAAGAAAGAAAGCTTTTCTTTCAATTCTGCTTCTAAGTAGATTTTATATATTCTAGGTAAACGCTACAACCATTGATGGAGTGACACCTTTATTTAATGCATGTTCGAGAGGCAGTGCGGCATGTGCTGAGCTCCTGTTAGAGTATGGTGCCAAAGCTCAGTGGGAGTCCTGTCTTCCGTCACCAACTCATGAAGCAGCCAGCAGAGGTAAGAAAGTTTGCTGAGCAAACATGGAGCAGTTGACAAATGTCTCAATAATAGTGTTAAGATATGTGTCCGGTTTTGTCTATGAGACAGCTTACTGAAGTTGAGCAAACTCTGTCATGCTTTGTACTGACAGGTCACAGTGAATGTCTGGAGGTACTGATATCCTGGGGTATAGATGTTGACCAAGATCTTCCTCATTTAGGAACACCTCTGTATGTAGCATGTGTTTCTCAGCAGATCCATTGTATTCGAAAGCTTCTTTATGCAGGTATGTCATGATTTAAATAATAATGTGACTAGTTTGTAAAATAAGCGTACTGTACTCACTTTTGAAGTGAGCTGTGCTCAATCAATGAAACTAGAACCCTTCCTTGCAGGGCTCTACTTCTAAGTATATTCTGTGGTGCATGTTTTCTTATAATAACTTACTATGTCTTTCATTTTTTTGTGGCATAGCAAGCATATGAGGGAAAAAGGAAGCAAGACCAATAAGAATGGATGTTCAAAATTTTTAGCACCTACTACAGCTTTCTAGATGTTCATTTTCTGTAGGAAAAACAAAGGTAAAAAATCAGCTTTGAGAAAGGAATTTTATACAGCAATCATTGAGCTTTCAACAGAACTTCTTTAGCAATGTAGTCCCACCCTTTTTCATTCTTGAGCATGTTCTGATTGATCTTTTTACAAGGCATAAAGGCTGAGTTGCAGAGAGAAGAGGTAAGGTAAAAGGCATTTGATCCTAAATTTCACATTATTTATTTAATCAACGGGAAAGAGATATTGGAGGCTCACTCTGTTTCAGCACAAGTGCAGGGACACAATTAGCGTAGCTAAAGGATCATTTGCTGTGTTTCAGGTAATGACATACAAGGCTTTTGAGTCCTGCAGCACAATGAATGAAAATGTATATATGAATAATTACAGACTTGCCATCATTGCACCGGAATTGTTTTTCTAGTTAATTGCAGGTTATTTAGAACTTAAGCAAGCAGTTAAATTGTTTCTCGTTAAGTCAGTCTCCTTGTATGATTAACTATCCTATGTCAGAATTTTATGTTTAAGAACCACAGAAGTATAATTAGCATATTTTGGGATTCAAATACTACCATACATTAAAAACAGTAACAGAAGGGCATATTCTACATTCGTTGGTGCCCTGAAGTAGAAAAGGGTATGTAAATTGAGAATATAAGTAACTACTTATGTCAATCTGAATTTTTTCGTATTTTATCAGTTTATGAGAAAGTATTAGAAGTTGAAAAGCAAATAGACAATGAAATAGGCAAGAGAATGATATTGTGGAAGTATTCTCAAGTTGTTACTACTGAGAACAATGAGTTATTCAGACTTCAAATCTAATTGCTAGGCCTGTGATATTATTAAATTATTTTACTCAAATGGGAATTAAAAAGGCAAAAATTGTTGATTAAGGGAGAAAAGTTGGTAAAGAAGCCAATTTTTCGTCTCATAAGATCAGTAAAGCTCTCTTAAGAAGTCTGGGTTTTTCTTCTGCTAGAATAGTCTAGAAAACTGCTGGGGCAAACCCAGTTTTAGGGGGACTAATAGCTTGCCTATAAGGGAAATTCTTCCATACTAGCTAGTTTTGTTTAACTCTTGTATGGATAATTTTTTCTTGAATGCGTTATTGCAAACTAATTTAGTCCATTTTAATTTAAAATAAATTAGCAATTCCTTATTAGTACAAAAGTGTAATAATTAGAATTCTGTGGATTGGGAGAATTAACGGTTTGGGTTTTTTTCCCTATTAGCTTTCTTGACTGTGTACCCCACCTTATTTAAAATTAAGTCCTTTATAGAAAAATCCTTGATAAAGGTTAGATGGGATGAGAATCTATTTCAAGCCCTTTGCCAGCTTCAACACATGAAAAACTATAAAGCGTCCAAGTTATATTCCTTCTTGAGCTGGTGTACTTACAAAAATATAAATACTAAACTTCAGCTTAGTGATTCTTTTTAAAGACTTAAATAAGGAAAGTATATTTCTGTAGCGCAAATTTTCTTAAACATGTACAAAATGTATTTTTTTATAATTAGGGCAACAATGATGCTCAAATGACCTAATTTGATTTTTCTTTTCCTTCTTTTTATTAAGTGTTTTCCTTTAAAATCTAGTTGTACTTAGGTAATAAAACCTAGGGTAAGTGTATAGGTTCAAAAAAACCCACTGATATGATTAGCTATAGTGCTATGCAATAAAATTAATAAAGTGGCTGAATTCACTGTGTCATTCTAGGATAGTGGAGTTTTTTTGTTTGTTTTGTAACATCATCTTTACTCAATGACAATTTTAATTAATCTCTTCTTACATCTCTTTATGTGCATCTACTCACCAGGTGCCAATGTGCAGAAAGGAAAGCATTTGGAAACTCCGCTCCATGCAGCTGCCCAGCATTCTAGTACAGAGATCGTAAACTTACTCCTTGAATTTGGGGCAGACATAAATGCCAAAAATACAGATTTTGAGAGGCCTATTGATTTAGCTGCTCCAAGCAGCTTAGTGGAGAGACTGCTGCTCCTCCATGAAGGTAAGTTTTACATGTGTGTTTTTGCAACTATAACTTGTATTCTTAAAAAAAACAACCCACGCCCCCCAAAAGAACTCCAACACTCCAAACAACCCATGTTATTGAAGCTAACATTGTGCTTTATGAAATTAATATATTAACATTCAGGTAAATTCTTTTCTAACTATAAAAATACCCAGTAATATTTAGTCTCAGGCTAGAGCCTGTTGACCAAGCAGCATCAGAATTTATTCAAGCTGAAAAAGTATCATCTTATGTTTATTGGGTGTTTACAAAATTAGACATTAAAGCTACACTTTTATTGGCTGTTACAGACCTTGTTAAAAAGAAACAGAATATTTCAATTTCAGTTTAAAAATATATTTAGTTTTGGCCAGCTGTCCCAATATTTTTAAAAATATATTTTCAAGTGCATATAAAGTACTTTATTTTGATTGTAGGCAAAAAGTATAATAAGTTTCATTTTCTAAGTTTTCTTTACTGAATTATAAGTAACCTGAGAAACAGGATTCGACACTTAAAAGTCCCTTAAAACTCCTAAAGGTCTGTTGCCTTAGAGAGAGAGAGAGAGAGAGAGAGAATATGCCAAAGGGAACTGGATTTGTTCAGGCTGACCTATGTACAGCGTGAAAATAAGCCACAAGACAAAGGTGGGAAATAAGCAGCGAAACTATTGCAATAACAGTGGGCATCTCTTTAGAGGTGAACTGACGAGTAGCACTGATTAATGTTTTCCTCCAGAAAACATCTATGTAGTCTGAATGCTGTTAAAAAAAACCTTCTAAAAACAGTTGGTTATCACAAAACTACTAAGGCTAGTAGGATTTTTAAAAGCCACAGCAGAGATGTAAAAAAAAATTAATTGGCATGAAACGTGTATGGTTTTATTGCCCAGAGAAACACAGCAATGTGTTCATTTTGAGGGAGAGAGGGGGCGTAGAGGGACAAAGGCATTATTATAAGCTAGTGAGACCATTAAACATGGTCCAGGATCTCGGGGTATTTTGCCTGCCTATTCTTGTTGCAGTGATGCATTGGTACTGCAGCTTGCGGTGCCGTAGCATGTATTTCACCTGTTCTATTAATAAAAAAAATTAAAAAAGCAAACTAACCTGCAGTTTTTAAAGTTGTTGACATCAGATATTTTCTGGGAGCAGGTTTTTAATTTGAAAACACAAATTATTTGCTGACCTGACCTTGCTTTTTTGAGTATTTCCCTGATTATTAATAAGGTTTCAGCAGCCCCAGTCTTTATCTTTGAGGGCAAAAGGGCAATGAAGGAAAAGGAAGGAAGAAAAAGCACAAATTTGCAAAATGTGAACATTATTTTTTATAAATCCCATTATTGTGCAAGACCTTTTTAAAAGAAAGAACTGGCTTTTATAGTTGTGTAATTAAACTCCTTTCTTTTTTGTTTGCAGCCACACCATCTTCTCTTTGTCAGCTTTGTCGACTATGTATCCGAAATTATATAGGAAGAGCTAGACTGCATCTTGTCCCACAGCTCCAGTTGCCAACAATACTGAAGAATTTCTTACAGTACAGATAACATAGTAATTAACCTTTAGAAACTTGAATAACAAGTACTTTTTCTTCTCTCTGTTTATTGTACGTTTTATCTAAAGAACTGCTGGGTGGAAAAAAAGCCTTTTGCATATTACTTTAAAAAAAAAAAAAATTGTATCTTTGACACCTGGTGTTGGTATATAATAATAATTGGGAGCCATTCAGCAACTGGTACCAAGGTGCTAATAAGGCTGAATTGAATAAGTGTGCTGATACTCTGGGAAATGATTGTATAGCTTTAGCTTAACACTTACTAAATAGCTTTAGTGCTGTTAATTTTAATTGTATTTGTACTTTCAAAATCTGTTTGACACACCTGAACCACAAAGAGTTTCTTCATTATTATTTGTTAAGTCAGTCCATTTGGAGTCATTATTTTATGTGTTTTTAAATTTCTATTGTTTGTGTACCTAAAAATACTTGGTGATAGGTGCACTATATACTTGATAAAAATAAAACAAATAATGCCAATTTTTCTTCTTTTTCTTTATATAGACAATTCATTAATGACAGTGAGAAACTTCCTTTATTCTCCCTCACTGCCTGTGATGTGAATTGGAATTATGCTGCTGTGAACATAATCACAATTTTTTCGGTCATGCACAATTTATAGATTCTCTGTTTATTAGTACAATTAGTAACTTTAAAAATTCCAGAGGAATATTCCCCAAAAGCCTTAATGCTGTGATACTTTTGATCTCCTCTTGTAAAACAGAATTATCTGGGCTCTTTCCATATCTTTTCATAACAATGCTGTACCCCAACTCATGGGCATATTAAATAATTATTTGCCTCAGAGAAAGACATGTATTATTGTATAGTATCTGTGAGGTTTCTGAAAGCATATCGTAGAGATGTGGATACTGAATCTTCAACCTCAAGTTCAGGAGATGGATGCAAGGCTCCAGAAATACATCAGTTCCCTGTATCAGGACAGGTATCACTCTGAAAAGGACATTATTTTTCTTGCTGTCTGGTTTATAAACAATTAGCCAGCTCCAAAAATCATGTTGCAGAATCCCAGAATGCTCTAGCAGGCATTTCTGTGATCAGGTTGAAAAGTTACTGTTCAACTCTCTAGCCAGAGACGGAATGCTGACACCCCCAAGAGACATTAGAAAACCCATGGGATTTCTGCCTTTGCCCTTGCATGGTGATGATTGCCAGTCATGTCAAAAAAGGTGATCCGACTACTTTATCGAAATACAGCGCTCCTTCTCTCAGTCTTTTCATTTGGTCATCCTTTGAGAACAGATTACTTCCTCAGTGACTGATACTCAATTCCTGCAAACCAAAGCATGAGACACCCAAAAATTTACCACTTGCCCTTGGTGATTCACCCTCTTGCATTCCTTTTCAGTGACTCCTTTCAGTATTTATGTTCCTACTGGAAAGACGCTAAGTGAGGAACTAACTATAGCGGAAGTTTTCACAAAGAAGAATGCTTACTCAGTTGCTAAATTACATCCACCGAATAAAAATGCAGCTGACACTTGCCCTTGTTAAAAGTAATCTTAATTTGCTTCTGTTCCCTGCAAAAACTCTAGCGAGGGCTTCTTCTGGAGTCCCTGTAAAGGCAAGTCAGATGCAAGTCAGAGGAACTGCTTAAGAGTCCATAATGTACATACTCTGTAATGGAGCAATTTGGGGGGTTTTTGGTTTTCATCCAGAAACTAGTAGTTTGTGGTTTTATGTACAATACTCTTACTGTGTATTACTTTAAGAAAGAAGGAAGTGCCAAGCCAACCATGGCACTGTTGAACTTTTCTATGTAGAATGAGATCATTTAGACCCTCACCTTCAGGTGTGCACAGTGCTTTTCAAGTTTGACTCAGGAAAAGTGTCATTAAAAAAAAAGCTCTCATGTTCTATGCAATAAGATTAGTTTTCAGCAAGCATGACTATTTTGCAAAACACCTGTTCGAAACAAAACTAGCTGATGTTAGAAGTTTTGCTGAGAGTCACATCAGAGTCCAAGGCATCTCATCGCAAATAGGTGTGTTCATGCTCTTGTGGCATTTGCAATGTCTGCTCCAACCATTCCCATTGATCCTTGCCGTCATCCGAAGAGCAAACAAGACCATCTTAAGACTTTACAGGTATTCGGTACTACTTTCTCTTTAATTCTATAGAATGGTAGACTAGCCGGAAGAGTAATCCAAAACCAGCTGTCCTGGTTTTGGCTGGGATAGAGTTAAATTTTGTCCTAGTGCTGTGCTTTGGATTTAGTATGAGAAGAATGTTGATAACACACTGATGTTTTCAGTTGTTGCTAAGTACTCTGCTAGTCAAGGACTCTTCAGAGTCCCTCCTGGGAGGAAGCATAGCCGGGACAGCTAGCCCAGCTGGCCAATGGGGTATTCCATACCATATGACGTCATGCTCAGTATATAAATAAGAGGTGTGGTCCAGGAAGTAGCAATCACTACTTGGTTATCGGTCAGCACAGGTGGTGAGCAATTGCATTGTGCATCACTCATTTTGTATATTCTATCATTATCATTATTATTATTATTATTTTCCCTTCCTTTTCTGTTCTATTAAACTGTCTTTATCTCAACCCACGAGTTTTTCTCACTCTCACCCTTCTGATTCTCTCCCTGTCCCACTGGGGGGAGGGGGGGGGCGGGGAGTGAGCGAGAGGCTGCTTGGTGTTTGGCTGCCTGCCGGGGTAAACCACGACACCAGCTTACAGTAACATTATGACTTCAATCTCAGGCAATATGCAGCTCTCAACATAATCTTTAATCTTTTGCTACCAGATAATTATATGAAAATAGAGTCACTTTGGCAAGCTGAGCCAAGTTGGATGGGCATCACTTCTGTTACTATGTAACAGGAACAAACAAAATAGGGGATGGATATTGTTGCCCTGCATACTGGAACAGATCTCTGGCAGACCAGACCACGCTAATGCCACATACCAAAAAGACATAGTAATGAAATACCTGACATTAGTGTTTGGTAAAAATCTTTCCAAAAAATGATCCCTTGTTTAGCCAGAAATGAAAGGAAACAGGCTTGTTGTTGTTCTCATTGTGTGGGGGCCCCATTACAATGGGGCTCTGATGGGTTGAATTCTTAGTATGAAATAAATGTTAAGTAATGTATTAAAATATTAGGAACCAGGATCTGAAACAAACATTGAACCATGTCAGAGCACTGTTAAAGACTGCTACAGCACACCCAAGTTTAGAGGTAGCCTTCTTTACCGGCTGAAGTATATCTCTTACTGCATGAATTATTATACCGGCAGAAAAGTATCGTAAGACATTTTCAGAAAAAAAAATTGCCGTGCAGCATCTCAATTCCGCAAAGAAATCAGCTGTGCAGCCCTGCAGGCTGGCTGACTCCCTACTCGAGCGGCATGCAAACGGCACCGGCCGCCGCCTCGCACGATACTCGGGATACGAGATTTTCCCTGCGTTTACC